AACCACGTCACAAACGCAAAAAAAAGTACAAAAATGCGCGTGTGGTTGTACAGCTAAACAGCATGTTTTCTATCTTCGTCAATGTACCACACCAAGTCCTAAACTAAAGAACCACATCAACTATTTACGACTCAAATTATTCTACGCATGTGGCGATTTCCTTGATCTTAAAGCTCCGCAATTTTGATCCGGTCTCCGGCAGACGATGTGTGAGTGTGTGCGTCTCCGTTGTAATAGGTGTTCTGAAAAAAAAATTATACACAACGCGAAGAACGTATCAACATGCAACGAGTCGTAGGGTGCATTTTAGGCCGAGGACCTCGCTCAGAGTTCTCAAAGTTCTAAAGATAAATGAGGTCACAAACATAATGTATCATCTATCGTGAAGTGAAATTTCAAACAACGACACAAGAAACATAAAAAAGAAGTTCAGTTATAGCAGTGTTAACTGATGAAATTAACAATGCAGTCCAAATTAACTACTTTTCATTGCATTCTTTCCTCGAGTCTCCAATCAAATTTAAAGTGAAATGCTTGTGTTAGGATATATGTATGTTGTATCTACCACGTGACTATACCTGGCCATACCTCGGGCCGGGTCGGGCTTCGGGCCGGGCCTAGCCAAGCCCGACGCAAAAACCCCAGGCCCGAGCCCGGCCCGGCCCGGCCGCCGAGCCTATTTTCTGGGCCCGAGCCCGGCCCAAACACGTAAAAGCCCGTCGGGCTTCAGGCCGGCCCAGCTTGTCCTTCAGGAAAATGCGAAAAACGATGGGCCCGGCCTTCGGGCTCAAAATCTAGGCCCGAGCCCGGCCCGAGAGCGGCGTCGGGCCGGGCTGCCCATGGCCAGGACTACACGTGACACATATGGTAAGCAAAGCCAAACAACTCAAAAAATGTATGTTGTATCTATGTACTCATACATTTTAATTTGATTAGGTGCACAATATACGTTTTCTACAAGTCATAAAGGGTTATATATCTTTTTGTAGTTCATCATTAACATTTCAAATTGAGAAGCCCACAAAATTTAGCAATGGGCTTAAGCGTCGCCACCACCGTTCGACTAGTTAGCTATGACTAACCATAAGCTCCACTGCATCGTCAATTAGTAATGTTGTTGCTTCCTCGTCTGATGGGCCTACACTCAACTGATGCCTCGTCATAGTTGATTGTCAAGGAGAGGATGGGGCGATGAGGGGAAACAGGCTATCATGCACTCTAGGAGATCTCAAGGTCCAAGCCTCGGCCCTTCTTGGTCAATGTGATGTAGTGGCACTAGCGCCTCCCACTTCAACAAGGATGATGATTGGTCGGTGCACGAGATGATGACATTGCAGATCTAGTATGTGCGGTCGGATGAAGAGGAGTATGGCTCCAGTGAATGGCGATGCGTTGTCTAATCGAGGCGACGGTTCTCATTGTAAACAAGGTGCCACCAATGAGATAATGTTGATCATGGTGAAAATCAAGTGTACATTTCAAGCAGAAGGGCACAAAAACAAACAAAACATTATCCTTTGGCGGCCTATTTAATTTAGCTCATTGATAGCAAAGCTGACCATGTCAATCTCTAGACGATAATTTGGTAACAAACTATAGCATTAACTCGTAATCTTTTGGGCACCAAAAGAGCATGTGCTTGGTGGTTCCGTCGACAAATCACTAATTAAGACCCTCTTTTAGTAGCAGGATCTCGCAAAACACCCGAAAATAGGGGGTACAAGATTGCAATGCCAAACCTTTTGTAATGTAAAGCACATGAGAGTAAGAACCGTCCGCTTATTTTCAAACCACATGTAGAGACATGAAAATAGGCATGGGTCGATTTTTCATACACTCCAGAAGAAGAAGAAGAAGGAGGAGGAGGAGGAGGAGGAGGAGGAGGAGGAGGACACCGAGACATAGGAGCTTTTTCAAGATGAGATAGCTCGGTAATTCGATCGACATGAAAAGAAAAATAACCCCCAAACCAAATGTTAGCATCACTCACGGTCATCGTCGGTTATAATGCTTTTTTTTTATGAGGATCGACGGTTCTACTACTTTAGTTTTTTGAAAGCTCGTCGGTTCTACTACTTGAACCGCTGGAGAGACGAGGCGTGAAAAGGTGAAGAGACCACGTGACGTATCATTCTCCGCGCGAAGGAATCAAAAAGATCGTTTTAACACGCGGGGTAAAAACACCCCCACCTCCCGCGATAAATAAATTCCGAACGAATATGAATATTCCGCCTCCCCGTCCGTCGTTTCAACGCAGCAGCACATGCCCCTCCGATCCCGTCGGTTGCGTCACTCACCGCGGCGCCTCCTCCCTCATCCCTCCCCCGCATGGACGCCCTCCTCCACGCCTCTGCCCACGGCCCTCGTGTCCGCCCGCGACGGGCTCGGCCCACGGACCCGCCCCACGCCTCCCCGCCCC